GATGCAACTTAGCCTGTAGAAGATCCCAGGTTCAATCCCTAACATTTCCTGGTAAAAGGACCAGGGGACAGGAAATAACTCTGCAGGAAGCCGCTGCCAGGAATAGCAAATGAAACTGGGCTAGATAGAGACGTGGGAGACAGCCTCCTATCTCTCAGAAAAGAGCTTTTAGCAATGTTCAGTAGTGCTGGAGGTGAAGCAGTGATCCTTGGTGTGAGGATAGCAGTGTATAATGAGTCCATGTTTCCATTTGTAAAATGTTAAGAGGGCATTGCTTCTTCATTGGCTTGTCTAATTTCTTAACTTTGTTACAATTGGCTGGGGACCACTCTGTTTCCTCTTCACCAGGCTAAAGACACACACCTACTTTTTGGGGGTCTGCATAGAGTAGTAACATTAATAATGCATTAAGACTTCCACTTTCATTTGACCAGGACTTTTAATCAATCAGAATTCCCAGCTCTATTTCCATCAATCCGTACCCTGAAATGCCCATGAGCATCTTTGGGAAGGTTGAAAATCGAGAACAGGCAGTCCTGCCCATTTCCCAATTACAGTTTTTTGAACAGACAAGAGTTTTCACAAGATGTTTCCTAATCTCTCTGTTGGATTTGCATTTTGCTGTACAAATAGACCACACAATCTTCTTTCCTGACAGGCTTTTGAATGCTTCCTTATGTATTTGTAACACAAGTAGGAGGAGAAAAATACCCTTACATAAGCAAGATCAATATGTGAAGGATTACCTAAGTATGTAGAAGTAGATTATATATATATATATTTATTTTTTTATCCAAATTGAGCCTTCTCCAGAAGCAAACAAAAAAATTACCAAAGATTATTTATTATATGCTTGACAGGGCCGGCTCAAGACATTTTGCTGCCTGAGGCAGGACAGGAATTGGTCCTCCCCACTTCTGTACCATAGTCAGTGGCATAGCAAGGTCAGGTGGCACCCGGTGTGGAAAATTTATTGTCACCCCCCCCCGACTGAAATTATTAAAAGAAGGAAAAATAAGATACTTACAGTTGCAAGTGTTATATTCTGTTTTATCTGCTTAACATTGTGAGCATAAGCACTTAAAGCCTTTTTTTCATGATGGGAATTTCGGTGAATCGACAGAAAGAAACACCCCCTGCCCTTCCTATTATGTTGACTTGCTGAGGTTAATTAATTGCCAGATGAAATTATTAAACTTGTTTTAAATAATCTTATTTTTAAAAAAAAAAAAGTGCCGTGAGCCCAATTTTATTGTATTTTATTTTAAAAACACATATTTTTGCCATTTTTTGTCACCCCCATCAGTGATGACACCTGGGGCGGACCACACCCACCGAACCCCACTTCCTACACCCCTGACCATAGTATACAAGGCAATAAATAACCTTCAATTTGCTGTCTTTTCATGACACTCAGAACCAGCTGCCTGAGGCCACTGCCTCATTCTGCTTAATGGTAGGACTGGGCATGAGTCTCAAAAATGTCAACAGTGGCTTCAGTGTGTCGTGGAATTCAAAGTCACTTGATGCTGCTTCGGTTTCAGGTTTCACTAGCCCCACCCACACAGCATCCCTGATAAAAGGAAGCAAAAAGAGGCTGGTGGATGGGCTGTCAAGACAAGAATTCCTTCAGACTCCTTTGTTGTACCTCAGACCTGATTGCTGAGGTGGGGGGTTTTTGTTTCCTTTGTTCTATTATGCCCTACTTCTCCCTGCCTGTTGGTGGTGCCCATTTTCTGGGTGTTCACCCTCAGCTTTCATCCCGATGTGGCAATGGCACCCTCAATCTAAGCTAGCTCCTTGACAGTAGAGAATGCAAGCTTATGATAAAATTGGTTAAGAAGAAAGTAAATTTGCATTATTTGGATTCAAATAGACCCTCAAACATCTTCTAGCAAGAAGGAATTGTGTGTTGTTACTTCCTGGTTACATTGGGTCAGACAAGGGACCTTTAAACCTGAAGACAAGTGCTCTTGTTCATCATTCATATTATTACTTTTCAGTTCCTGGGGAAGCCTTAATGGTCTGTTCTAATTACCTTTCTCACAGCTAGAGCATTTTCCTGTTCAGAAGGATTTCCACAGGTTTTTTTGCATATGAAGTGTGTGGAAAGGCTTGTGGCCTAGCTAATAGGATTGAGCTGAAACCAGAAAGAGGGGGAGCAATTGTGGTTTTAAAGAAAGCTTTCACAAGTTGTGAAAGCAGGGCCATCTTTACCCGGGGGTGCAAGGGGTGCAGGGCACCTGGACGGCGAATTCTGGGGGGCACCTGGCGCCCACCGCTGAAGCCGCCTAAGCTCTTAACTATCTACCTGTTAGGAAATAATAAATAATTTTGATCAAGCTAGAAAAACAAAATACATATGTACCTAGGTATTACCGAAAGGTATACCTACTGTTTCACTAAAGGACTTTTGACTTTGTGCGCCCATTTACCAAAGACGTGCCGCACCAGCGGCGGCGCTTGTCATTCACAACAGCACCGTACATGCGGAATTAACTCTTACATGAAAATATTATGTTACGTATTGTATTGAGCTACTATGCGGCAGCGGGGTCAGTGGCACCTTTGACACGACTGATGTTTCTCCTAAGTAGGTGCCTAAACAATACTTAAAAGTTTAAGTGTGGTGGTGTTGTATACTTAAGTATAAGTGTATTATAAATAAATGAGCAAATAAAAAAGTTTGTTTCTTTTTCATCCCTTCTTTCATAAATAAGAGATAAGGCGTAAGCGTGGTGTCTGACATAAGCATAATAAAAGTTAATTTGGGGGCTAAACTAAATTTGGGGGCGCTGGGCAGATCTTTGCACTCCGGCAGCACATATGCTAAAGACAGCGCTGTGTGAAAGAACCTCTCCTTTTATTAGTTTTCAGGAGGGATTGCAAACAAGGAATAGTGCTGTTGCATTCTGAGTGAGGATAATGCATTTTGTTCTCCCTCTGAGTGCCGTCATGATGTCACCTGATGATTAGCTATATGCCATTGTCATACAGTTGTCATGAAGTCAATTCAAAGTGAGAACAGAATTGGCTCTGAATTGGCTTTGTAATGATGTTGCATAGTCAGTCAGATATGGGTTTCTAATGGTATAATCTTATCATGAGAATGATTGGCTAGGAATATGTATCCAGCATGAAGGAGGAGGCACTGATGTATCGGACTATTGGGCAGTGAATGGGCTATGAACAGTTTTTTTAAAAAGTTGTGGTCATTTGAGAGAGTATTTTCTCTTTTCCCCAGGAAATATTTACCTGCAAATATTTAGTGTGAGTCTAATAATCAATGACTTAAATTAATGCCCTAACAAGACATGGGAAGGAGAAACACACATCTGAACAGGAGTAAAGTACCAAAAGGAAAAATGTTTGGAACATTTGTTCTATTCTCCATCCTAACATTCTTGTCCTGGACCAATCCTTAACACGTTACCGTTTTTGTCATTAATGGAAGCAGAGAGCTAATATTTTAGGAAGAGCTTTTGACCAATGCAATTACAGCAAGGCATTGTAGTTTCATTTGCACATGGGTAAACATGTGCTTTCACACCCAGGGAAAAGTTTAGTTTGGCAGCTGAAGATGAAGACCATGACTCCAGACTCAGTCGAAGCCAAAACTGCAGAAACCCAAAGCCACTTCCAAAAATAATAGCACTATTGGAGCCCTGAACCTCCTTCTTAGACTAGTCATGCTGAGTCTGATGGTCCTGGGGGCCAACAAAGCTACTAAGCCCCCTCCCACAATGTCATGGGTATTTGTTGGATAGTGTTGCTCAACAGTCATGTGGAATGAATTATGTCTACAACTATAAGGAAGTTGTAATGAAATTAAAACTTATCTTCTCTTTTCTGCCTAATTCAATGGGGTAGAAGCTGCAAGACAACTTTCCTACATGTATCCAACCCTTTCTTGATTTGAAACCAGTGAGATTTGTCGCTCCCATGAATTGTTTGGAGGTGATTGTTCCAAGCTGTTACATTCCTACACCTCTAATCATGAAAACTTTCTTCTGAGTTTCAGCTTGTCATTACTGACTGAAGTGTAGACATTGTTCAATAGCTTAGTTCTCTTTTTCTTTGTGCAAGTTGTTTCTGGTATTTGTAGGGTGCCATTTCAGATCCTCTGCCATAGGGTTATCAACTGTGGGTTTCAAAAATCCCAATTCCTTCCAGATCAGCCTGTAAAGAAGGAGAACCAATATAAATCGGATGAGGCACAGGTGGCACTAGGACAGAATTTGTGGGCTATATATGGAGCCTAGAAGAATAATCTGGAATGTTCTGGCCTTTCAGTTACCACACAAGTAATCAAACAAGACACAGCTTTACTGGTAGGTAAAATACTGTTTAGTGTTTGGCAACCCGATCATCTCAGCCTCCTTTCCCCAAATGATAAATAAACTGTATTAACATATTTTAATGTCTGGCCATGAGTTGTTTATTCCTGTAATCATTGCTATCATTTCATAGAATTGTAGAGTTGGAAGGGATCCAAGGGTCATCTAGTGCAACCCCTTAAAATGCAGGCATCAAACAAGATAAGTATGACACCAGGATCTATATAGCAATATAATCATCTGCTCAAAGATGGAAAAGGGAGGTTCCAACAACGGAAGATTGGCTTTTGAAAATATGGAACTGGCAAGATTAACAGCAAAGATTAGAGACCAAAATGACCTTGAGGACTGGACACTTTTTATTCAGTATTTAAATAACTGCTATTGTGAGACGAAGGCATGAGGACTTGAAATATGAGCAACAGTGTGAATTATTAAGATAAATAGGGTAAATTGTATTGAATAGTATAGGCGAAATATTCAGCATTTAAGGGTAAATACGGAAATCATGGAAGGGGAGGACAGGAAGTCAATAGATAAAGTAATTTCCTGTTTATGTTAAAATTTGTAAAGTTTTCTTTTTTGTGAAAAATTAATAAATAAGATTTAAGAAAGGGAATACTGTCATCTGCAGTAATGTAATTGTTTGCAGTCTGCTGAATCGATTCCTTCCTATGGAGTTTTAGTACTGCATTATTATTACTTTGCAGTACTAAAACTCCATAGAAAGGTAAATGGCGTTTCCATGCGCTGCTCTGGTTTCGCCAGAAGCGGCTTAGTCATGCTGGCCACATGACCCGGAAGCTGTATGCCGGCTCCCTAGGCCAATAAAGCGAGATGAGCGCCGTAACCCCAGAGTCGTCCGCAACTGGACTTAACGGTCAGGGGTCCCTTTACCTTTATTATTACTTTGGCCAGATACCTCACGATTGCTTTGGACAGTGCAGGAACAGACTCTGTTGTCCTCTGCACACAGGTCACCCCTTCAGTCTGGATACATAATGCTGAGGAAGTTAATCACCCAGGCCCAGCCATTTGCTTTGATGCAATCAGCTTGCAGCCTCATTTGTGTGCTCCCCAACCTAAACCTGCAAGGGGCTATGGATAGCTCCTTTGTGTTGCCTCAGCTAGGCCTCCAGACGCAAGTCCCAAGTGAGTTAGGTTTCGGCCTGGCAGGACTGTGCACTCTGCTAATCAAAGCCCAATTTTGATCAGGCCAAGTTCCCTTGTGGATTTTTACCCGAGATGAATAAGGTCCATTGCTGTTGATGGCTAAGAGCAAAGAAAGACCGAGGTGTTCAGGAAGGCAGTAAACAGAGAGCTATCCATGCAATAGCCTGTGTGTGTTTGTATGTGTGTGTCTGTGCGCTCGGCCTCTGTATTCATTTGTAAGGGTCCCGGGCACACTATTGCTTTTCTAAAACAGAATGTTTGCTGATGGACATAAGGCAAGCCAAACATGGGGGCAGATCAGTCTCAGGACACCCAAATTTGAGAAACAAGCCTCCAGTTACAATGCCGAGACCTAATAATGCATTTCTTAACTGGGCTAGGGGATTTGCAAAGCAAGCATTTCATTTCAAACGACAGCAGAAATCATGATCCAATTAATCAGCATCAAATTAATTTCATTGTATGGCAAGGAACACGCCATCTGTCTGTTGCAAATATACATTTTGGCTGCAGACTTTTGTACTCCTTACATTGGAGTAGCCTAACTTACTGCTGTGAGCCTCCTCCAGAGGAAGCTGCTGGGTTTCTCCTGATTTTATCACACCCATAGCCATTATAAGGGAATTGGAAGGCTGGGTTTTTGTTTGTGTGTGGCCATCTGAATTGGTTTTTGGCTATTCTCCTTTGGTTTAGAGATCAGCTTGGCATCTGCCAAATAAGAACCAGTGACAAGCTGAGGGGGATGAGTGTTCAGGCTTCAGATGCATTTGTGCTGGAACTCAAAACAAATAGGAATAATGTGGCTTGTGTGTGCTGAGTTGGCTTATGATACCAACAAATTGGGGCTTGTTATTCTTGGGGGGAAAGGTGCCTGGGGAACCTTTAGCACTTGCTGAGTTGGATGCTGAAAGCAAGCAAAGAAGGACGTATTTTCAATCCATGCAAACAGTGCAAGAAAGCTCCAAATTAAATAGTTCTGTATTGGAGAATATGCAAATCCCGAGGGCTTTGTAGCCCATTAATATGGTCAGTGTTCCTGTGTAATGTGCAGAAATCCATGTTGGCTCAAAAACTGCATATCCTGTTCATAGCAGAAACTTGAAAACATTTTGCCAATCTAACAATGTTCAAAGCAGAGCAAATGGCGGAGCCATAATAGCTGGCCATTGAAAATATGCTGAGAAGTGTCACGGGAAACAAAAACACTTAGCATGCTGCTATCGGCTGCTGAAAAGAAATTGCAAGATTAAAAAAAAAAAAGTTCAACATGCTCACAGAATGCTTGGAGCCCAGTTATTATTACTGTAAGAATGGTTCAGTTTCCTTAGGCTAGATCTATAGGAGATGGGCCAAGATACTGGAAGTACCTGTGGAATTTTGGACAACAACATCTTGGGGAGGGTTCCCTCATATAACTGCTAAATTGCTGCATCCCTGTTTGACGCTGAGGACTAGAAATCACTTTCAAGGGGCAATAAAATAATAATCTGGCATCAGTGAGAATTGCAGATGTGGAGAACAGGAGGTGGAGAAATACAAAGTGCCCTTGGACTGGTTTTGACAGATTTTACTTACATCTGGCAAGAGATGGGAGAGATCCATTTCACTGCAAAAGTATTTCATGAGATCTGTAGCTCTTTTTTTTGTTTGTTTTTTGCCTCCAGTGATTTCGGGATGGGTATGGGAGGAGGAAGCTGTGGGACTCCTATGCAAACATCTTTATCCTTTTGGTACCACTGGTACAAAGACGAGAAGGATTATGGAACATGTTGGTTTTTGCTTGTAACTTCGGGAACATTAATGGCCGAGCCACGTGAAATCCTGCACGCTATTCTAGTGTTGTGGTTGCTGATCAGAAAAGCTACAGTTTCTGTTTCTGAAACATTGGCACCTATAACTGTTGCATGAAATGTGTGTGTTCAGTTTATAACACACACACACACACACACACACACTCATGGGTATGAGTCAGTTCTGATTTGCATATCCTGATTTACACAGTCTGACTTCATAAATTGGCAACGTCAAAGTATTGTCTCATGAAGAGTTTTAATCTGGTTGGTGCCAGCGTAAACCCTCAAATGTCAAAATCCATCTCGTTTGCACAAATGCTTTGATTACATCTTAATCCCTGCTGCATGCTTAATATTTTTAGATATAGATCACAGCAAAAACGTGCACTTTTCTTATTTCTAAATGTGATCTAGGGCTATGTAACTCACCAACTTCATGCATTCCCTAATTCTATTTTGTCTCCCAGCCGATCTCTTCACTGCCACTTTGTTTTATCTTCGCTCTTTTCTCCCTAAACTGGCTTCATCTCTTTACTGATCTCCCCATGGTTGGTCTCTTCTTCTCCACTGACCATGGCCTCCTCATGATCCTTCCATGGCATCCTACGATGCTGCAGAGATTCCCAAGGAAGTTAAGTGCTGGCGCCAAGCCTGGCTGCTGTTACAATAGCAATAGGACAGGTTCTTGGAACAACCTGGGTTTCCACATGTAACAAAAGCCCATGGTGGGCTGCAAGCACAGAAGGCCGACAGGTGGTGTCTACCTCCCTGCCCCTGCCTTCCTATCACTTAGATTTGGCATGTGGGGCAGCTATGACTTCTGCTCACCTTTGAGAACAATGGTGTGGACAATGCTGATGCTGTCAGGGCAAAACTATTTCAATTGCAGGTTCTGTTTGTGCTCTGATGTATTCTAACCATTGTTTTTAACTTCCTGGGGTGTGGCCGCTGGCACATACTGGCAGCTTCTAGGATCCACAGGTGAGTGCTGAGTGCAGGGTGGGTACCAAAGGTGGACCAACTGCCCCAGAAGGAGCACAACGTGTCCCCAACCAGAGGTACTACCCCTCCCTAACACCTCATACACCCCACACAGTAATGCAGCAAAAACAATGTGGGAGGCAGCAGTTACAAGTTACCGGTCTCTGCAGCTACAGCAGGCGCTGTGATTCTCCAGAGAATTAACTTCACTCCTGGAGGCTCACTCCATCATCTCTCGAGACAGGTGGATATCAACAATTGTTTTTAACTAGTTTTATTACTTTTTATTTTATAACAATGTTTTTAAATGCTGGAAGCTGACTTGAATCCAAACTTGGGAGAAAGGTGGAATAATAATAATAATAATAATAATAATAATAATAATAATAATAAATGTCTAACCAATGTGCTTCAAATGTGTCTACCTCTCTTTATTGGCATCATTTTTCCATATTTTTATCTGAGGACAGTCCATACTACTAACTATCCCCTGAGGGAGCCGACAATATATTTGTTTCTCGTTAACACAGGCATTTCACAATCCTAAAGGAACAGAAGCTTTCTGGGGAAGCCTAGTTTAACAAGGAACTGTTGTAACAAAACCACAGCATCCGTAGTTTATTCTTAAACTATATTTTACCCCCCCTCCTCATTTCCTTATTCTTTTGCTAACAAAATTAAGGGGCAGATACTTACCCGGGGGACGCGGGTGGCGCTGTGGGTTAAGCCACAGAGCCTAGGACGATCAGAAGGTCGGCGGTTTGAATCCCCGCGACGGGGTGAGCTCCCGTTGCTTGGTCCCTGCTCCTGCCAACCTAGCAGTTCGAAAGCACGTCAAAGTGCAAGTAGATAAATAGGTACCGCTCTGGCGGGAAGGTAAACGGCGTTTCCGTGCACTGCTCTGGTTCGCCAGAAGCGGCTTAGTCATGCTGGCCACATGACCCGGAAGCTGTACGCCGGCTCCCTCAGCCAATAAAGCGAGATGAGCGCCGCAACCCCAGAGTCGGTCACGACTGGACCTAATGGTCAGGGGTCCCTTTACCTTTACCTACTTTCCGGGTGTGTGTGTGTGTGTGTGTGTGTGTGTGTGTATGACTCCAACATTTTTATTTCCACTGCCAGGTAGAATCTGCTAAATGGACTCTGAACAAAGGGCTGCTTGTCTTGTAAAGGAGAAATAGTATTATCCTTCCGCTCTATGAAATGAACCTATAGCATCCTTCTCTCTTCCTCCAAAGATGCATTTCCACCAGGCAAAAGCGCATGAGGAGGGTTTGGAGGCTGGTGGGGGCTGGGGCCTGGGCAAAGGGGGAGTGGTCCAGGCAGAGTCATTGAGGGTTGGAAAGAAGGGGCTCATTCACTCCTTGGATGTGAGGTGCTGCAGCCCTGCTTGAGATTTTATAGAAATGAAGACAAGTCTAATTGTAGCATTTTAGTTTACATTTAAATGCAGTCCAACTGGGAATAGTTAAGACTATACATATTATTAACCCGCCTGCAGTTACTTGGATTAGCTTCCTATCCCATCAGGAGTAAAGAGGATTAAAATATGAAAACACATAACAGGAGGAAACAAAAACTTCTGTCCATTTAAATGGGATATGTGCAACAGAATGAACATAGGATGCTGGCTTATACCAGAGGCAGATTTATGGTCTATGTAGCTCAGAATAAGCAGTGCTGTCTCGGGTTCAAGGCAGGGGTCCTACCCAGCCCTCACTCACCTGGAGATGCCAGGGTTGAACCTGAGACCTTCTCAATGCAAAGTAGATATGCTGCCATCAAGCT